AATTATTCAGTCTGTTGAGGGTTAAAAAAGGAGCGAGAAACTAATTAAGTCCGTGTTCAAAGAACTCTTTTGCTTGGTGTTTGCGATCCTTTCTAACATTTTAACACCCGAATTTTACACAACTACAAAAAAAGCTCTATGTGGAATAGTTTTATGAGACGTATTTTTATTTACAATGAAGAATTATTACCCGTTGTTAAAATTTATTCATTGCAAAAATTTGAAAGACGACATATCTGTCCGCTTGGTCGTAGCGCCAACTGAAACTAAAAGGAGACATATCTGGACAGTTGGTCGAATGAGCTTCACACATGAGCGAAATACGTAATATCTCCAAAAAACTGGTAGTATATGTAACAACTGAATGAAAATAATATACTCATGTATACTGCAAATATCCTTTGTTTGTAGCATTATTATAGCTCGTTCGAAAAAAATTGTACGGGCCAATAATAAACATTCTGCCATTTGGAGGTGCCTAAAGCCTTTCTCCTCAAATAGTGCTCCTCCTTTCCTTTTTCATATATTCCCATTGGATATTTTCTGAAAAAAATCGACCACGTATTTCTGAAATTTCCCTGTTTGCTCACAACGCATCATGGTTTCTATTTGAATTCACCGGTTCTAGTTGGCCGAAGATAAGGTAGTTTTTTTTCGAGATAGTTTGTGTGCAACTCGGCATGTAGTTTAGGACATCGTGACCCTGCATGTGGTGTCGAACTGTGTGCGTGCCCGACAGCTAGTGTAGTACTGCTATGTACGCCCCAGCATGCAAAATAGGACAACGTGCCACCCTCATTGTCATGTGCAAGCCCGGGCATGCAAGTCCCGGCAATGTAGGACTGCTGGGCACGACTTAGCGTTGCTGCAGCATAGAGCTGTTACGTACGACTTTGTCTAATGTACGACAATAACGCACGACCTCTAGCGCATGAATCGGGCGCAGGAACTGCCATGTGCATGGCTTTTGACTTCTATCGAACAATGTTCTTGCTGATTTCTTTAGTGCACCCTTTCGGAAAACATTTAGTGGGTTCTTAAAAAAATCAAATTCAGAGGACTGAACTACAGTACCGGTTCATTCTCAATATTTCGATGACTCTTTTTTCAATCTTCTGGGTAACATTCTCTATAAGACTAAAAAATTTTGACCAAGAACGCTGTCATCATCCAATCAATTGTCTTTACAGTCCCCATATACTGTATAGGAGAGGGAGTAGTGATGCGTCACTCTAATTTGCTTAATTAGACGTATTCTGCTTGAGTGAAACAATTTAATTGGACTCCAGTAATTGATTCTATAGAACACGAAATACGTCAATATACGTTCAGCTAACACTCACCGCTAACATAACAAGCAATTATATTAGATTGACTAGTTTCAAAAACCTAGTCACATACAGTTCAGTCAATATTTTACCGAAGCATTTTAACTCGCAAACGAAATTATGAAGTGAACCCGTGACCATATTAACATTAAGAGGCTATTTTATATTATTAGAGTTATAACTACGCGGAATTACCAACTATCAAACAAAATAATTTTGTTCTGGCGCTGCATTACAGTGTCATATGTCCGACTGCACTTTGTGGCGCGTTTCACGCGTAGCTAGGGTTCGTGAGCTCGATTGTACATATATGGCTTGTTTAGAAAATATAATGCAATAATAATTAAAACTGCCAATGTGCATTAATAAACAGCCAAAATAACTCATAAAGCACTCCCGAATAAGCAGATAATTTTTTCGTTGCGATATCTCAACTGGTTTGTCAGCCATATAGTGCCGAAAATTCAACAAGGTTTTGCGGGGCAGATAAAATCACCGCTACATCCCAGTTAAGAACGTCGTGCACTGAAGAGCGAGACGCAATTTCTTTGTTAGTTGCTGCCGAGCCAATCTAAGACACGTTCTGAACGTGTCTAACAGCGCAGTAGCTTCGCCATATTCATAGGAAGGTTTTCAAATGAGATACTTTGAAAGGCGACTTATACGTACAGCTACACGCTAATCAGATGCTCAGTTTATTTAGGGAAATCTTCACTTGCATCAAATATACTAGTCTTTGTGAGCATCTTGTGTGCTATTCATTGCGTACAGTACAGATCGATGCACGCAGTTGCTCGTGATCAATAGTTTTTTGTACAACAAAGTATAATTTTACACGTTGGATTAACTGTCACTGATTCAGGATTAATCGCAGCAAAATAGGTCAAAATTCATTTCATATTAAAGCAATCAAAAATTTAACGTCATGACCAGCATGCGTCGTTTTTTAAATTTTATTTTACAACATGTAGCGTTGCAATGTAAAGCCTCATTGAGTATTGATGATGACGTTTTTTTAATCACCTTTGCTAGTCCTGGCCACTAAATGAGTTTTTATTAGCAATAAGTCAGTCAATTTATTTGCGTGATCAATGCTGAGATGCAACGACCACCTCAAGGCATTTCCCCTAGCGTATAATTTCAACACATGCGTTTTGTTTTGTCTACAGCTGCGAAGGATCTCCAGGCGATGAAACGTGCGAGTGTAAACTTGGTTGGTCAGGCCACGACTGCTCCACCAAAACTGTGCCCACGAGCTTTTCAGCGAACAGTTTCCTTCAGATTGCTCTCCTCTTCCAGCTGCCCGAACAAACCTCGTCCATAACTTTACGGTACGTCCCAACACGCGCCCCTCCGTTGACCCCAAGGCTCAAATAGTGAAGACAAAGACAACAATTTTGGTTCGTGGTCTTACTCGGCCGTCACCGGACAGCTTAAAATCATGAGTGATGACAGCAAATATAAAAACTTGACCAAACGAAGGTTCTAGTATTTGGCACTAAAATATTTATAGTTATATGAAATTAATACCACTAGTAAGGCCCCTTTCACACAGGGCGGGAAATCACGCCGGCGTGAAAAAAAAACGCCGCGGGATTTCCGCGCTATCATTCTCACGAGGCGTTTTTTTACGCTGAAATCTATCAGTCTTGCAGCGCTGTTCTCCGTAAGTGGTCCTCAGTTTTTGTGAACTATATCTATAAATGGCTGCTCATAGCAAAGAAAAGAAGGCTCTCCTTTTATATTTGCTGCATAACTGACAGCAAAGAAAGAAAAGGAGGTGCTGGGTTCACAATATAGTAAAGTAAAGGCCACAAGAAGGTGAATTTGCCACACTATTCGGAAAATTAAGAGAAGATGAAGTAAAATTCTTCAATTATTTCCGAATGTCTGCCGCAAGTTTTGATGAATTATTGTCTTGTGTGCAAGGTAAATTAACCCATAACAGCATGCAGTTGAGAGACGCCGTGCCTGCGATTGAAAAACTGGCTTTAACTCTCACACACACCCTCGCCGACCCATTGTCTGTACAACACCAGGTAGCGGCGTGAAAAACCGCGCAGTGTGAAAGATTACATTGAATACCATTGCAAGCTAAACTGTCGCGGGAAATCCCGCCGCAGTTTTAGCTTGACACCCGCGGTCGTCAAGCGTGAAATTTCACGCCGCGTGAAAATCCGTAGTGTGTGATTAGCAGTTCACATTTTATATGTTCGCTGATGTTCGGCGGGAAATCCCGCGGCGTTTTTTTTAACGCCGGCGGGATTTCACGCCCTGTGTGAAAGGGGCCTAAAGAGCTTGTTGGCAGCTGTGCAAGTCAAGATCAAACGCGTTGCGCCACGCCAGCGATTTATGAGCGATGAATGCCACACGGAGAAACGTGAGTCGAATAATCATGGACGTATTGGAAATGAAATTCACTCTCAACCTCATATATATTACTAGTGAATCCTGTTAATGAATCCATAGCGCGTTAATTCATTAGTGATGTAGGCATTAAGAACCTTGGAAACGCCAATGAAAGACTCAAAGCTTATAAATTATCGGAAGGAAGCATCTGCATTTAAGATTAGGCCGTCTCAAATTTGTCGACGATTCTCCAAACATCCTTGACTTGTATGGCTTGTTTTTTAAATGTCAAAAATTTGTATTTTAGCTAAATCTATCAACGACTGACGTTTGGTGAAAAATGATACGAACTTTTACCCCTAATAGGTTCAATCCACTTCTAGTCTTTAGTTCGGTTGCGTTCCTATGTGTTTAGAAAACATAAAGTCCATGTCAACCTAAACTCCAATTTGTGCTCTGTCGACTCCCTAAGCACCAATGTATCGTTAAGATCTTGTTTTCTCGTATCTTAAGCCTGCCATTGATTATTTTTACCAACGCGAAGCACGCTTGTTAGTTTCTAAAGCCACTGCCAACTGTACCGAATACCAGCCCAGTCAACTAATCCATATCAATTATTTCTAGCAGTAAAACTTTTAATAACGTATCATTAATTGATGTAGAAACTGTTTAATCATCAACGTGCATGGAGCAACGGCTTTAAGTTGCTTCTGGTTGATCGTCTATGAACGCGACGAATAAAACTGATTCGGGAACTGGTTCAAAGTAACTGAAGATTTTGCAGTAGCTACATAGTTTGCAGCAAATTTCAAATTTGAATTTCCTGCAAGGACTCACAATGCATATTCAAAGTTCAAATTATGTACATGTAAGAGGCTATCAATTAATTATTTGATGATTATTTTAAGCGTATGAAGCCTCTCGTGAAATGTTCCTTCGAATTTCGAAACTACCCGATCAGAGCCGAGTATTACATCTCTGGCTCAACGCTACATGACGCCAGATTCAAATAGAATGTTGAAGCATTCTATTTTGCCCTATAGGATGCGCACCCGGCAGAGCAACAGCTTGGTGGTGGCGCTGAGGTCTGTTGGAGGTCTGGAACATCTGGTGCTGGCACTGCGAGGAGGCCGGCCCTGTCTGACACTACACCGCCAGCACGCTAAACTAGCCTCTGTCTGCCTCACGTCAACCCTGCATGACGGCATGTGGCACGACATTGCTGCTATGAGGTAACTTGCTGAGCATCAGTTGTACCCTGCATGACGGCATGTGGCACGACATTGCTGCTAAGAGGTAACTTGCTGAGCATAAGCGGTCGACGGCTGCCGATGCCCCCGGCCCTGAACGCCACCCGCTGGGGGGCCGTGGAGGCTGCGCTGGACCTGGCGTCGGGGTGCGTGCCACCTTTAGCCTGTGTCAACGCCACCTGCTCTCCGCCCTACAAATGCCTGGACACTTGGAAGCAGTTCAAGTGCGAGTAAGAAGCTTCTTTGTGTCAGTATTTGGATGCAACTATTGTCTAGACTATTACTTTGGGTGGAAACAAATTTCACGTGTGTCACAATATAATGATACGAACTAGCCTTTAAAAGACGAAACACATTTATAATGAGACTTCTCATTGCATTTATAATTTCACTACTATGTGCATTGTGTTATGAATAATTTTGGCACCTGGATGGAAGTGGACTGCTCTGTGATTCTGAACAAAAGTTTATGAATCAGTTGCAGCCTCATCTCTGTAGGTATACATCAATTCATTATGCTAGGTTGGACATGGACTAAAATAAAAGGAAACTCTTTGGCTCCGGAGCTCTATTTTCCTAAAACAAATCCTTGAAACGCAGCCCGACACAACGCTGTGTCTTAACACACAGAGCACAATATTGTGCCATATAGCAGAACAAACACAAAAATCTCATTGCACGCAGGGTCGAGTCCCGAAAAAACAAACACCGCCGTGTCGTTCTATACAAAATACCGCTGGAGTTTACCATACAAAACTTCAGTGCAGCATGCCTTCCGTTGTCAATTGTTCGTAAAAACCTCTGAAATATAGCTTGCATCCGCCAATAGGGCTGGAAGAAATGCCACTCTCTTCGGTTTGTGGTCTAAAAAGCGTTTTTTCGCCCCATGGTCCGCAGCTGCGGCGAGGGCTTCCAGCTTAGTCCCGACGGCTCCTCCTGTCTGGATGTGGACGAGTGTCGCTACGAGCCTTGCCTCAACTTCGCCTCGTGCTCAAACTCGGTGCCAGGTAATGAAACTTTATTCCAAGTAAGATTTTTTCAGGCATATTAATAACTAGGAATGATCGTTTAATTATATAATTTGGATAACTAGGAATGATCGTTTAATTTTATAATTTGGATTGTTGCTTTCTTGCATTGGTGCGTCGATATTGAATACTGTATTGTTTTATGTTTTTTCCGTGCCATCTTGAGTTTTGGTTTTGTTCTTTTTGGCATTTGTTATCATGAATTTTTGTATGAATATCAAGTTGAGAAATGATCTTTATAGATTAGTTTCATAATAACATTGACTATAGCTCCATGATTATTTCCAAACTTCTTGTTGAAATGGGGATAAGGGAATTTAGTTACAATTCGCGTCGAATAATAGTTATTTGCACAGGATATTTTGAACCATCAGAGTAGAATGAGAGTCGAACACGCTGGCATTTCTTCATGAAAAGTCATACTTTGGCGTCTATTGAATTGATATTATTAATAATGAAATCAACTGAATCTCTCATGATATGAGCGACGGCTAGAAGATCTAGTGGCGGGATGAACATTTGTGGCAGGATCTTTTGATAATATAATAATAATTTTACCTCTTGCTTACATAATTAAAACTTTTAATTATAATCAGAAGTCTATGATAACATAATTAAATCATAATTTAACCGAATCTGTCACGATATGAGTGACGGTTAGAAGATCTAAATACCGAACACTGCAGAAGTGTTGAGCGAATTCACTGTAAATTATTCTATCAGATGAATAAACCACGATGAGGGAATTATTTACAAATTTAATCGATTTAACATAATTAAACTCAGATTGCATAGAAAAATGGCATTATGCACTCCAATCATGCATCATCAGCGGCATTTGCGAGTCACATGTATACGTCGGCTCGACACACTAAGGGAACAAGATAGATCTATGACACCAACCATGACGGCAACAGAAATAAGTTTCAGAGATTTCTGATGGTTTTCGTGAACCTGGAAGTATGATGGTAAGATGAGCAAACGAGAAGTAACAATCACAGAAAGAGAATCGAGCCAATGTTACAATGTCTGTTAAACCTGTTTTGAAACCATTACTTCAATTTGCGGGAAACTCAACTGAAATTTAGTGAGTAACATTTAAAGGGAAACATCTTCATCGATGAAAATGCCATCTGTGGGGGCAATTCCTCTGGGTTCGGCATCCCACTGTTGCCGCCGAAAGTTATTCTTTTTTGATAAGTTCGAGGTACGAGCTTTCGCCTGTTGAGCTGTGCGTGTAAATTCTATTGTATTTATTTACAAAAGAAATTCTGTCATGCAAGCGCTAAAGGTATCTTTTTCTTTATTTTTGAAAACAGAGGCACCCAGTTTGGAACAACGGCTCCAAAACTATAATTAGTAAGCCCAAAAGAAACTATTTTCTTTTAGATATTTTACCTAGTATCTTTCCAAGTTTAATGGAAAATTGAAGTTTGAATACGGACCTTTGCAGAATTTTTTGCTACAGCGTTCTTTTCTCGGTGTGTCTTCCAATTAGCCGAACAAGACCGGTCCGCAAAACATTCATCATGCCTGAAACCTTTTAACCGCTTTCTCTATCAATCCCGATATCAATTGCTGCAGTGTACATGTGCGCCGTCAGTAGTGTCAGTAATGGAGTTTCGTACATGACGTGTACATAAATATCTCCACTGATTAATTAATACAACATTAAATATAGTCTCATGTGTAAAAATCGTTTCGAAATTTAATTTATCTTATTTTTATCGCCATTTCTTGCATGATTTATTACAGGTTTTAATTCTCCAGTTTGATACACAATTTTTTCGGAAAACAATTGTGTCCTAACACGTAATATAATTTATCAAACGCAATATCCATCGGCATTCATTCATTACAGTTGTTCATCACAGTCACTCTTTACTTCCTAAGCTATGGAATTAGTACTGTCGACGTCATTTCCGTTCCACAACCCCTGTAAAATATGTAGGTAGGTTCAGTGACTAGGTACAATTCAAGTGTAAGTGCAGTTAGAATTATGCAATAAAGCAAGTTTTTATATCAACACTTGCCGCCCCGTATCACAGGCTACTACTGCTCCTGCACTAGCGGCTACGCAGGCCACAACTGTGAGCAGCAGGCCGGACCCTTGGCCTTCCCCCTCGGCGGCCTGCCTGTCCTGCTGGCCCTCACCTTCTCCCTCGCTACTGTCTTAGGTCATACTGAATTTGATCCCTGAAACCTTGTATATTTGTTGACATTATTCCGTGTATATGTTATAATTCGTATGGTGATATTTTTCAGTGAAATCGTTCATCGGGCTCAGACAGTTTGTCATATAAATATTCTCTTAATTCATTCTGCGCAAAGCCGATTAATACAGACAACGGATTTTGAGTGTACAAATTACCATTGTCCGGAGCAGGGTAACTTATCAGGTTAATCCTGATCACCTGCCCAACCTACCATGCATTACTGAGCAACGAACTTATTTCCTCGAGAGAAATGCGTAGCATTAATATCATTCTTATATCGCTACCCCAATTTATGGCGACGAGTCTGCTCCTAGCAGGGGACTAGGAGCAAGTGTTATATTGTTGTTTACGCCAGGCTTCCCACGAATATTCTTACCAATCAACTCACTAACTTGAGTATTGAATGAGCCAACTAAATCCCATGAAATAGTTTAATAAAAAAATACAATATTTCAGACCTTTTTTTCTGGGTTATTCATATACTCAATTATGAGCAATTATTTTGTTACAGTGGTTTATCATAAATATTCGTTAAAGGCGAATTTGTTGTTTTTATACAGGTTTGCTGGCGATTGCAGTGTCAACTTATTTTCTAAGGCGCCGGAAACTCGAACTCAAGACAACGTCAGTCGACGGACCAACAAGTAAACAAACTCAACAGCAAGTCATAACCGCAACAATCATAGACTCCTCCAACCACTCCCCAGTGCCTTCTAAAGAATCTAAGAAAAGTATTTCCATAGAGGAGCTATCTAGTAATAATCGATTTTCTAAAGAATCATTGAAAAACATGACATTATTTTCAAAACCTTCTTCGAAAAATGCAGCGCTTTCCGAAGAACTGCAAAGGAAGAGTTCATCGTCCGAAGAATCCTTCTCTTGTGAAGGAATAAATTCAGTAGCCGGCCACGCCATCGAGGTGCGCTACACGGCCAGCGCCGCCACACACACGACACTCGCGCCCAGCGTCTGCGAGCTGCACGCGCTCCAGCACGACGCCGTGCCTTGCTTAGGGCGCTACAACCCCGACGCCGTGCCTTGCTTAGGGCGCTACAACCCCGACGCCGTGTCTTGCTTAGGGCGCTCCAACCCCGACGCCGGGCCTTGCTTAGGGCGCTCCAACCCCGACGCCGTGCCTTGCTTAGGGCGCTCCAACCCCGACCTCTCAGGTAAGTTCTACAAATCCTGAGAGACAGTTTAACCAAGCTGATAAGTGTTATTTCGATACAAAATCTATGGTATATTTACCCTGAAATGTCCGCAGTCGATGGTGTATAGAGATTGACCCCATAGTCTACTGATGGTAACTCAAGTTACAATGCATTTTGATGCGATTAACATTAAGGAGGATTAATGTATCTGACCACAAAATATTACTAGTGAATGCGGCTCAATTGAACTGTAAGTATTTTCTAGTGACCGCTTATTTGTGTCATGCATCAGGCGAGGACGTGACGAAGTCTGGCCATGCAGGGCCACTGAGCGCTCTAACGCTCATGGCGCCTCGAGGCTATAGAGACGAAGATGAGGTCCAGCTCAACAAACTGCGAGATGTTATAAGTAAGTGGTTATAACGTTAAATAAAAAGAACTTGATACTCATAAAACAATGTTGTCGTTACCAGTGTTGTTTGCTTGCAATTATTTTTTTAAAGCAAGTTTGGAATACTAAAAACTCAATTTAACCTCCCGACTAATTCACAAGGGAGATTTATTTTGACAAGTTATTCAATTGTATTCTGGCAAGTGTTGCCGTGTAATTTCATCATAATATCTTGTAATGCATTTATTACATCAATACGCATATTTCTGTTTATTAGATTCATTGGAGAACAGCTCGCTTACACATTATTCAAATTTAGGTAAAATTTTGCTGCGCCCATTTGGCTGCATTTTCTAATAATACGAAAGATTAAAGCGATTTTATTCGCCACAATATAATTCACTGTGATGATGCATTTGCTTAAAAAAAATATATACCTTATTTCGTAGAAGCTGATACAATGCAAAGCTATTTCCTCTCAGTACATGAACTCATGATATGTACATCACCATTAAAGTTGTTACGCTAACTTGGGATCCATTTAAAATTAGTTCCTTACAGTGTTTTGCTTCTATTTATTTCATGGATATCTCATCTGATCTCAATTTCCTATTCAAGAAAATAACATAATACTTGCATAGTTGCAATTTTTCAAAACAAAATTATTTGATTCAAAACCTAGCGCCAGAAATTTAGTCGATGTAATGAATACAAAATCAAGGGACCACTCGAAAATCAAACTGTCCCCCCAGACTGTCCCAGACTGTCTTTCATGGAGAAAATTTATAAGTGATTACACAATTCTCTGCTCATTATCTGAGTCCCATCCCAATATGATAAAACTCTCTAGATACAATCGCTTTGTCAATTAATTTCTGCAATTTTTTAATACTACTGTTTGATTGCAGTAAGTTGACCCCAGTGCATTACTCGACTAAACCCGTTATAAGCCTTAACTGATATTCTACTCTATCAATAACCTTTTTCAGAAGTTAACCTACAGCATGTAAAATATCTGCTGCTTATACTAATTCCCTTAAGAGATGGAATTTAAATTTTCTTTGCGTAATAATTATTCTTTTTTTGTGCGGTGTCATGACTGAAAAATTTATTGAAACTTTCCCACCCATTGCAGAAAATAACTTTTAAGAGATAAACGCTGGATATAGTGAATGCTACCTGCATGATTAAAAATATGTTTTCAGTAATTATTTCCCTATAATCGAGTTTGTGATTATTTACAGCGCATGACAATTTAGAGCCCGAAGTAACCTTTGTTTCACGAAAAACTTGATCAAATTGAGATCTCAATGTTTCTCTTGGAATAAATCACCTTTCCCTTCGTCTGCATTGTTCCAGATGGCGTGGAATACATCTGCTCCGAGACTCCATGGCCGCTGCTCCAGTCATGTACTTCAGACTCCACTCCTGATAATATCAAACGGCCGTACTTTTCATCTCTGAGACGCAAGTCAAATGAATTGGCTCCTTTTCTCAACGTCAGTGGTGAGAAAAAGATATCGACGTCTCAGCCAGACTCAAATGAAAGAATGGAAAAAGTTGCTTGGTATTGTGAAGGTCACAACGCTCCCCAAAAAACTGACATGATGGAGAAAGACTCAGAAGTTGATCCCGCATCAGGATCGCTGCCTGCTCTGACAATGTGTTCTGCATCTCATGAGTGCAAGGCTCCTAGATGACAAAAACAAGTTTGAAAAATTTAACATTGCATTTGAATTTCAAAACTATTTGTTCGATGGAACTATCTATGAATTATCTAAATATATTTTCAACTCACTCAAGCTGTTCTCATTTTGAACCAAACTTTCTACAAACTAAGACCATCACCAGCAAATCCAGTATTATATGCCTGCGAAAACAGCTCAAACAAGGGAATTTAAACAATTTCGAACAATCATTGTCATTTATGCAGAAACGCCCTCCACCCTCTTCCAGTCGATAAAATTTTTTGATTCCATTCTACGTAATTAGAGTCTTTAAAAAATCGAATTGGTAGTTCTGTTGAATTACACTGGCATGTGCAAGTAAAAATAGACGAGACCACATCAACAAACCAAATATCTGTACAGAAGAAATTACTGAAACATTGACGACACGAGCGCGTTTATTATGAAAATAATGAAAATAATCCTTTGCGTCACTTAAAATATTGCAATTAAATATTCAAAATGAAGCACTCTATCCCACTGGTGGGCTAAAAATCATATAGGTTATCGCATCAAAATCTGCTTCAGGAACGGAACAAAAGACTGGACTTGCATATGAACCTCAGCGGAACGGGATACAACAGGAATATCCGAAAATTTTAAATTTTTTATTGAAAATAATATGTTCATTCGTCAATGACTTGATTCAAATGCCACTCTTTTGAATTTTTTCCCTTTCAATAAACAAATTTATCTTCGATTTCCAAACCTTGAAAAATGTCTTTCTTTTCTAAAGAGAGATATTGAAAAATATTTCACTTGCTAAAAATATTACTAGCTTGAGAAAAATCGAATTTGTTGTGTATTAGAAATAACAAAAATTCTGCCTTCATATCATTATTCTTTGATCTTATAAATCATCAAGCCAAGTCCTTTAAATCATCAAGCCAAGTCCATGAGCTTAGTCGTCTTCAAATAAAGAAACTTGGAGTTCACAATATCATTTTACTTCTAATTTCAATTTTTTACTAATAAAATCATAAACAATTCATTTTTAAATTACTGAAGATTATGTCAAAATTTCTAAGTAGTCCGTAAACATTTCCAGTACCCATAAAAAGTTGTTCTTATTCTGGCGTTTATATGTTACTCAGCGCGTGCTTATGGCAGACATGAACACTTGAGAGCTTCCGACAATCCTACGAGCTGGAATTATTCACACGTGGTTCGTTTGCAACCTCCACTAAAGAAAGGTTCACTAAAGATAAAAGTCTTATAACAGAAAGTAAAGTTGATGAATTAAACAACGAAACTTTGTCTGATAAAAAGTATGTATGATAAAATAAAATAAAAAAACTAAAGTGACAGCGTGTCTGCTGTAAAAAAATACTAATTAAACTATAAAGTTTGGAAACGGGGAAAATCCCTCTTTCACCGAGAGAAAAAATCTCAAAAGTATTTTCGTAAGCCCGTCCTACTATATGAATCTCATGAGCCTTTTTAAGACGTAATAAGATGCTTCCTCAACCGTGTGCTGTGCTGCAGCAAGTTTAATTTCTAGACTCAAACTTGCCACGTTTTATCTCCAAACAACAGCGATTCTAAGTGGTCCTCGGCAACCGACTAATGCCGGCGATTGTTTGGAATTCAAAGGCCGACTTCCAGCAAGCATTAATTAAAGACCGTAAGCTGTTAATTATAAAATAGGTTTTTCATACTTAATCTTAGAATGAAATGTACCTCGGTAAGTGATTTGCGCAGAGTTGTCCATCAAACAGTTACATTTAGAATACGAATATAGGTTAAAATAAATTAAAATTAAATAATAATAATTTAATTAATTAATAAATAATTAAAAAAATATAGGTTAAAATCGCCGCTTTAGTTGAAGCGATGAAAATGAGAGGTCATAAATGGACAATCTTACGCAAGTCAATGTTATGTTAAAATTGTCACAACCTAACTGTTAACATTGATATTATTTCCATTCTCTTTTCTTTGAAACGTTAGAAAAAATCATTCATATGAGCTTCGGATGTAAACACTATTTCAGTACGCAAGACTCAGCGACATTTGCTCCAAACATATAAGAAGCACATTGATTTTGACAGAAAAATTATTACGATCACCTGTTCATTCAAAATTCGTAATGAAATAAGAAAAGTCAAATTAAAATGAAATAATTGCTCGCTTGTTGATTATATCCTGAAAGAAGTTGTCGTCCATCACTTTGAAATTTAAACGACTGCGAGCATTATCTATAGGTTCTAGTTTAACCAACTACTTCTTATACGGTAATTCGATGTTAACATTGACGTAATGATCTATATATAATGAATCACAACGATCAATAGAAACGCTGAGCTTGTCTTTAGACAAATAGTGTAGATGTCGAGGAATAGATATTTTATGCTAACATTTCTGCACACATGCATGAATCGCCGAAAAGAAATACAATGTAGAATTCGCTCTAGGAAAAATAACTATAGAAGCTTTTCGGCTGACTTACAAAAGTCATATTTTAGTAACGCGAAGTATTTCAAAACTGATTTATGAACAAGATCGTGTTACACAAAAATTTTCTGCTCATACTGGTGATACAAAAAAATTCAAATTTCAATCCGTATTTTTTTCACATCCCGCCTATAAACTCTTTAATTATTTTATATTACAATTGAAGCCGATTTATGACTCTAATGGTGAAATCAATAGACAGAACTTTGAATCACGAACCTTTGTAATTTCTCGGAAGCATTTTCAAAGATTTCACAGCTGACGCAAATTGGCTTAGGCAAACATAAAATTTCGTAACGCATATGATCTGTCGTCCGTATTTCTGGGTGGAAAAATAGACGGCTCTGAGATTTATCGATATCCTGACGGGTGGATTTTGTAACGAATCCAAGCGCGGCTGTCAAAACCCCGAATGATGTCTCGTAAATATCGGCCATTGAATCTTTACTTCAGGCTTTGGTTCTGGCGTCGGGCGGCATGAGCCAAAATTTGAATAATCCTTGTCGACGGCAGCTGCCTCACTCCCCCAATTGCACGTCATATGAATGCGGTGTTGGGAATTACGAATTGTACTCAAAATTCCTTGGAATTTTCAATTCAAACGGTAAAATAAAAATAAAAAGTAGGGGATAGTATCCTTGTAGGGAGTTTTTTTTAAATACGTCGTACGCCACGAATGATTACAAATAAATAAATGAAAGAATAATGAATCACTTTAGAATGCTATTAAAAGTTCTTCGCTTAATGCTCTCAAGAAATTTTTTCATTATAATATAACGCTACCACCTATTTAGTTCATCGATCCAGAACAAGTTCTTAAATTTGATCTCAAAATTTTCCACACATCGTCTTACGCCATCACAATTGCCTAGGCCATGCCCGGAGCCTGCGCCTCGATAGGCTCTCCTGCGCCTCGCCAGGCTCTCCTGCGCCTCGCCAGGCTCTCCTGCGCCTCGCCAGGCGCCTCAGGGAAGAGCTGCCAGGAAGTGGTGAGCTGAAATATCCTGACAAGCCGCCCGCCAAGTGGGATAAGCTGGGCAACAGGCGTCCCTTCAGTGTAACCTCATCCTTCAAGTGAGAGCTGCGATAAACTTGTAAGTGACGTTCACGTTAGGAGTAGGAGCTTTACAATGAAATAGATTATGTGAAGATTCACATAGATTCACTGAAGTGTTTTTAGAATAATATAGATTACGTGACCTTTTTTAAGTGTTCTGCTATTTCGAACGAAAAATTTACATTCAGCTAGAGAAAAAAAAATTTAATTTAGAATTTCTCGATCTCAGTGAATGATAATGAAGCAGCCAGAGATATGATCGTAAACAATTTTTTTCTTACATTTAAACGAAGAATAATCTAACAAAAGTATGTGATGCTGCAATAATTGATGCATCACTTACCTGTGAACGCTCTATTCATCAAGTGATTCTGGAGGAATAAATTAATCACTGTCAGATACACTTCCATTGTTTCAAAACATCAGAAAGAATTTACCATGAAGCGGGCTTAGTAATAAACAAAGAGAATGCGATCTCAGATCGCGCGTCTAAAACAAATTGTGCACACGGTTCCTCAATTTAGCGCGCGCCCGTGAACCGGTAGACCAAATGCCAGAGCTAACGGCGGTCCTTCGGTGGACGCCATTTTCCTCCCAAATTCTGACACGATGAAACATGCGTAATTTATCCAGAGGAAATACGGGTATTGAGAATCTATGTGCAACGCTTATATTTTTACAATAAATACAAAACTGTGTAATTACTGTGTTTTAATTGTAAGGATGCAGTTTCAAAGCGAGAATTTCCCAATATTTTATCAAGTAAGTATTAAATGTTCAAGTGGAAAGCCATCCTTTCAAATTGCATCGATGCACAAATGACGTTCAATCTCAAAAGGTTAATTCTGCAGATTCAGTGCATAAAATTTTTATTAAATAGTAAAGATAGTTTACACATTTTGTTTTTAAGACTTCTAAACGCTTAATTGTGGTAGCTTACGACAACTTGAATTTTTGGTTATATTCGTCAGGCATGCTAAATAAGCAATAAATTCTAAAAGATATTGTTATGATAAATGCACTGTACATTTTTCACGATTCTTTACATTCTACTTGATTTATGGCAAATATTTGAGCAAAAATTCAAGGGATTTTTAATGAAATACACGTGCACGTAATTTGGGAGATATTCATATTTCATGAAGATGGATGACTCAAATAAATGAATTTCAAGGGACGCGATATCGCGGCGCCCACGGCAGTTCACAGAGATAATGAGCGAGTGCCCTTAAAATCCAGACTAATTTTCCTGTGCACTAAAATTAATGCGCGCATACCGCAATTCAAGGGAGAACTCCGGAATAGTCGTTGGCGAAAAGTCTTGTTTAAAAAAATTGCGAATAAATATGAAACAGGCGTTGAAATTTAACGATGTTGTAAATTAGAATGGTTTGGTGTTATCAAACAATTTCCAAATATAATTAAAGAAACATTTAATAATATGACTGACGAGGTTTTTCCCTCAATAAAATTTTTCTTCATAATTCGAGAAATTAAAAGTGAGATGTTGATTCTTGCAGGCAACTTCCGTCTTGTTACGAGATAATAACTTGCGGGAT